ATGAATGCATGCTACCAAGGTTTTTACCTTAAATTTTGTCGAAATCGTCTTTTAACTTGATATCTCATCACTTAAGAAATTAGCAGAGCTGTGATAGCCTCGCGGTCGAATCATGACGGACGAATCATGCACGGGCGAATCGTGTTTCAAAAACCCGGGTCTATACACTGCACTGAAATCGGCTGTAAAAAAATTATTCGAAAACCATTTAGTGGATAAAGTCAGTAAATTGTGATGTTATAGGAGATTACTAAAGATGACACTTATCTAATTCTTAATGGTGCCGCCATGTTCAGTGTACGCAGGCGTTCTAGTTTAATAGATATTTCGTTTGTACGTATCCGTTTATCGTTTCCTTGTGGGCAGGCGTTAACGCGGCGTAAACCATATGGAATATTCGCCTACCGACGTCACGTACAAATACGTGGACAGCCTAAGGTCAACATTTCTAGGAAAAGCCGGAGTTATCACAAAGGGATACGAATGAAACTATGGCAATCTTACCACAAATTCTTTGACGTGGTGTAATAAGTTATTATCTCATCCGCTGTTCGTAAGTCACGAGATAGCTACCAACGAACCTCGCTGTAGCTTCACAGTTAGATAAATTGAATTTTAAGCACATTCATCATTATAAACCATCAAATATTTTCGCTCGCGCGCGATTGGTCTGAACGCGTCAAGTGACCGAATATTCCCCTGCTAAAACCGGAGAATATCCGAGATTATTATCCAACTGCAGCCAATACCGTCCAAAAAACAGTACAAGTGTAGAGCGATATTGTACAGTTAAGTGGCAAACCTGTTTGCCGGACTGGTCGACGTGCGCACGCAAAACTGTCACACTCTCCTTCTTTCACTGATAAAATTTATTGACTACAGCAGTTGAATAATAAACACAATACCTTCCATTTGACCCTTGAAAATATGTTCGGTTATTTGTCCCTGGACATTATCTGTTCCTCAAAGCTCACAGGTAGTGTCCGCGGACAACTGAAATAGCCGAGCATATTTTCTTGCCAAATGCATCGTTAACATGTGTATCTGTTTATCCCGTCTACACGGGAATATGTAAACCAAGATGCTTCTCCGTCCACGAATTGATTCACTTTGAAGAGCAGTTACGAAAATATGCTTTGAACGGAGGGTTTCACGGTTCGGCGCGTGTCTGTATTATTTACTTGCCTGTGCACGCTTTTTGGCACAGCCCCAGTTTCTCATTGTTTGTGAGCCTGTCGTAAACAAGTTACCTTATTTCGCATGCAAACAGCCGTAAAATCATCAACCGTAGGATATATCGTACGGGTCAAAACTAAATTCACTGACGGTCGACAGCGTCGTTAAATCCACTGAAATCTTCTGAGAATTTTGGTCATCCTTCATTTTTCCACGACTAACTATAGCATGTGATTACTGAACTACATCTGCGTGGGGTTTTTAAAGCGATAACATTGATAACAAGCGAACATAAGTATTTTGATTTAGAGACATGCGCCGTACCGTGAAGCCCTCCCCTTAATGAATTTCATGGGTGGGCGAAAGACGAGGGAATGTCGCTGTACAGGGGTAAACGTAGAGGTGTGGATAGGAGTAGTCGATTTTCAGAAAGCTGACGTGGGCCTATATTATAACGGACGATATTTTCCCCGTGTGTGTGTGGTGGGGAGGGGGGAACTTCCATATTAATCCTAACGGGTGATTTCGTGACATGTGTTCCAAATACTTATAAAAAATACACTATGGCCTAATTATCAGCAGAAGAAAAGAGTTTTTGTTTCTTATGACAAATTCAGTGAACGTTGTGTTTTAGTTTTGTGGTCTGACTGGGCTCGTCCCAGTCATAATTCTATGATCGATAGTCGTGTTTTGACTCTGGGTATCCGTTTGATATCCCGAGAAATGTTAAAATGTTAATAAATTTTCATTCGCCTAATTCCGAGAAACCTGACGGTTGTGCATAAACTATTTAATACAATATGCTACGATTTTCTCTAACGAATAAAGAGTTGTTTCTTTTATTTCTTGCCGAAAATAATTTTTCCGTATTCTGTTTTGTTCGTTGGGTTCGTTCCAGTCCTTCACTTTAGGTGAAACTCAATGATGTGTTCGCGAGCTGGTGCGTTTCTTAGTCAGCGGCACAGCAAACCAAAATACGTTCCAATCAGTGCCAGTTTTCCGAGAGAATAAACACTTTCAATTTCCCTAGAAAAACATTTCCCAGCAAACCATCTGAATACGGAGACCTAAAAATTATATCAAGGGACTTAATCATTCCAGTCTGATCCCCGACTTTTAACAAATTGAGATCAGTGAAATTTGCGGTGGATTTCAGGTGAGTTTGGCAACGCAAAGATGATTGACGTTTTGTTCATTGAATTTTGGTCGAGGATCGGTCAATAGAAAGATATTTTTATGTCGTCATAATCTATAGTCGCCAGGAAAATCCTGATTAACCGATGCAATCGATCGTTTTTAGCTAGGTGTATGTCCTTTTAGAAAATACAAACAAATGACTTGAAGCGAATTTTGCATACGAGAGATATAATGACGTCTATGAGGAAATGATATCTTTAAATTGCAATTTAAAGTTAGTGTAAGGTGATGATGCAAGTCGATTCTTATGAAGGAATAGCCATTAACGGCTATGACAAAAAATGAAAAAACCTTGAGGACAGTTTTACCAGTGTGCAGTATATCAAGACCAAAGTCTAAGCCGAGTACTTCCAGATGAGCAACCGGCATCGACATGCGCATCGATATGTCATAATTATGTGAGCGTCTTATAACGAAACAAACGCTCGACACAGCAGTACGTTCATTCGTTCAAGCATTTATCGTTTTCTTTAAATAATCGCTGTTTTGATGTGGACGACAACAGCTGGCTAAGCCAGCAATCAGTTTCATGAGATTGCTATTACTGAATCTGATATCGATATTCGTCGATATCATAATAACAATAGTTCAATAGTGATGAAAAAAAAGTTCTGCGTATAACGGCTTATAATGTCTGGAAAGAAAACTTCCAGTGATCGATGAAAGGCAATATTGGTTCACGTCTTAGAGATATTTTATTTGCTACATTTTGAATGAACACCACATTTCGATCCAATGACTTAATTTAAGCCTTTTTTATTTGAATCAAAGTGTCTGGGTTGTCTTGATCCCACGGCATAAAGTGCACAATGGATATTAATTGCGTTGAAGAAGAAAATTGAAATGAATTATTATAGAATCGTAGACGGCATACTCACTCGTCCAAGAGTATCATGCGTGTTACAGTAACTCTATAATAGAACATTAAGGGACATTCATCTGTTTGGATTAAATGGGAGGCTGCAATAAGTTTATTTACAACTGATAAAATGTATGCTTGAATGATTTTAAGTGGAAACGTACGCCGGTACATCAGTACGACATATCGCCCATACTGTTAACAACTCACCCATATGGCCGTATAATTACTGAAATATCGTAAGGAGGTTATCACACTTTTAGCACTTTGAGATCAAGTCTTGACTTTGTCAGCGATTGTAGTTCTAGGGTTCGGCGTAATGAAAACGACATTTAAATGTAAATCATAATTGGTTGACTGAACGGGTGGCGACAAGTCGTAGACTAATCCAAAAGTGCTACGTGACCCTTTCAATCAAGTCATCAGATATACTATTATTCCACGAACTAAGAAAAAAAAAGGGRCTGCTCMTAGTTTTTGTCGTGATGGGTTCTCGGCAGCATGACTAACTAACAATGCCTCTCAATCCAAAGGTCTTTGCATGTAAGGCATCGATTTGTCAAACGAAAGTTGCACTAATTTTTTTCACCATGGGTTACCAATATTTATGACTGATCCAACTGAAATAACTGGTAGATACAAGAGCAGGGCAGAAATTACTCTAAACAACCGGATTTTATTTGCCAATATTTAAGTCATCAAGTATAATATAAGTGATATTTAAACCATATTTACTTCAATCACTTCCTTTTACTGAGAAAATCAAAAAACCTTTGAACTTTTGACGCCATCAATCAGATGTGAGATGAAACCGCAAAGAAAGCAAACAAATTAACGGTGTTTCCATCAATCACGAAACCACGCTTCGATCGTTTTTCCTTCCAAAAAATGGCTGTTAACCTGTAGTTTTATCATTAATTCTTTAACCTGTTCTATTTGAGCAAGCAAACTGGAAACTCGAGCAGCTTTAAATGACGTGTGATTCACAGAAACCTACACGCGTGGACTTGCAGCCTAAGGCAAAAAGACCAGACAGCTCTCCTATATTCAACTTCATCCGTTGCTATATTTAGCGATAAAAATAATAGACTCCCTGAAAACTCCAAACTAAAAAGATCAATTTCCATGGAAAGTGAGAAGGTTTGGAAAAACCGAGGGTAAGGAGCAAAATAAATAAAGTGTAGAATATTCTCTTTTTGTGAGCATTATGCAACTACATGTTATAATTGAGCAATAGAGCACTTTTTCCGCTTTTACATACCCTCATCTAAACACGAGGGGGTTTGGGAGAATTCGACCCCCCCCCCAAGTGTTTAGATGAGTCTATGTAAACACGGAAAAAGTACTCTACAGATCGTTTTCACCTGACGTCATCATTTTCTAAAATCGAAAACTTAAGTGCCACCAAAGTTTTTATCCCCATTAGGCATAAGAAGGGGTAAATTTATATCTGTTTACAATTTTACAGCTCAGTAGTGTACTTCGTTTGGAAACAAGAGCATTTTGAATTTCAGGGTTATGGAGGTACGTGACACATGGGTACGATCGAGTTTCTCGAAAAATATATACTTATCACATGGTTTTGAGCCTTTTAAGAAGTTAGAGCATTGGGAAAAGTGCTTATGTAAATGCTTGTTTGGTCTGTACAGATAATCAGTCGACTAGATAGCCAAAGTAAGTTCCAGATGTTTACACTATTTTCCGGCCGACCTATTGGTGCTCCACAGAGGTGCACCAGCATGGCGTTTCCATTCTGGGTTCTGTAAATTTCTGCGAAACATTTCGACGAATATCTGCAGTTTGGGAAAACGCACAAACCTAAGACTTGGAGAAGTGTCTTGTTTATTTATTTCCTATAAAATCGCAATTTCTTGACTTTATCCACGGAATGGTTTTCGATTTATATTTTTATTGCGTGACAAGGAAAACGATCTATTGCTTTCAAAAATATTTCTCAAGAATACACGCGAATCTAAAATGTCACAAGCGTGTTAACATACTCGCATCTAAACGCACCTATCGACCAATGAGAGCGCGCGTAATAGCTCGGTTATTTTACAATGCGCGATACCAACCATACGCGAGATTTTAATTTCGCAAATTAAAATTTAAAGATTACCGTATTGTGTACCAGAATTATGGGCTTTAGTAAATTAACATTACCCTTAGAAATCATGCACCGAGGTCATACATGACATGATTACCCGTGACCTTGAGTGTGCTTGACATGATTATTGTATAATCTGCAGCTAGATGACGTCACAGGCTCTGATTTCGAAAATTCACTGTACCCGTTCGGCCAATCACTGTACGCGTTCGGCCAATCAGTTGTTATTATTTGTTGTGCAGCGGACACCTGTCTCATATTTAAACTCCTATTAAAGTTTCGAAGTGAATTAAAACATAGCGAGAGCCGAAGCTCCTTTGCTTGTAATTCAGATTAAAACATCAAAGAAGACATCCCCACAGCGCTAGCGTTGGAGGTTTTCCTTCGCTTTGAAACGAAACGAAAAGAAACGAAACATAAACAAATCCTTCAGAAAAACATCCACGCAATGCAACGCGCGAGTAACATCCGCGGAAGAACTAGGTACCATGTCTAAAAATAACTTAAGAGGGATTACCTTTGGTATAAGGCGTATATAATGGATTCATCTTCCCACCTTAATAATCTCTTGATAAATTTCAATTAGAATGATGTCAAATAGTTATTTGTCTGTAGAGTAAAATGTCTTTTCCTTTATTTGTCACACACTTGGTGGGTTAATGGTTGAAAAATAGCATAAAGCACTAGTACTGGTTACTTGTCATGTCCATTTCCCTATGTTAAGTTTTAAAGAGTTTTTCTTTGTTATGAAAGTAATTTTACAGAATCGAAAACGTGGGACGCTACCAAGAGATTGAAAATTTGCTTATTCTCTGACAGCTAAATTGTACTCATACATCTTATCCTTGATATGTACAGTAAAGCATCAGGCTGACAGCGATAACTTCAGAATGTATAAATATAAGTCTAAAGCATTAAATTATCACATTCTGCATCTAATCCTAACAGAACACAAAGACGAAGGTTGCAAAAGGAACGACAACGCGTTTAGTGAGAAAAGGTATCCAACAAAATTAAACTTTCAGTGCCGAAGATCTGCTAGTCTGGATGTTTCAGTCGAAGGCAGGATGCCACTCCCTGTTAAATCAACTGACTCTGAACGGGATGTTTCTAATACAAACCAAACAGCACATACCTCGATCGATCCAGGTGATGGATGGACTCTGGTGACGTCAAAGAGCCAGAGACGAAAGTCAGTGGCCCAAAGAACTTCTATTGCTGACTGGCCATCACTGCCAGGACCTTCAGATAACAGTACTTTGCAAGGTTCCAATCCTACTGCAACAAAACGCTTTTCCGCTAACCGTGCCGAGCCTCAGCAACTCAAATCCGAGCAAAAATCCAGAGAACATTTTAGGAGAGGTTCTGCTTTCGCTTCATCAGGGTTTGCAGGTAACACGAATTACGTCCTTCGACAATCCCCAAATTCATCGCGTCACCTGAAATCTACAGGACTAAACTCTTTTCTCAGCCGTACAGAGTCCCCGAGACAGCGCTTGTTTTCAACAGATCAAGAGTCCTTTTCCCGTCCAGATGTTAAACGCACTGAACTTACAGAACATGCAAGAACGCCTGTCCGCTTCAGTCACCCTTGTAGGAATTCATCCAAAGAATCGAGGACAGTGAACTTTGGAAACACATCAAAATCGCAATGGGAGAGTCTTGAGCAGATTTCTCCTCTTCAGATTCATGGTGTTTTGACTACCAAGGCTAAGTCGAAACCGCCTCTCGATAGATGTATTTCACCACAAGTAGGAGCAAATGTTCACGGTTGGGCTCCTCCACCAGGAGTTTCCACTCTTTGTGCCCATTTCCTGCAAGATAACAGAAAGGGAAAACCTTTCAGACATCCAAATCCTTGTTTAAACTGCACAAAGCTCTCCAAGCTTTTGTACGGAGTTTGGAAAAGTGACACAAAGGAATGGCAAGTGATGAGACCCTACCCAAAAGATGTGAACCCTAATGTTCCGTTCCAGCTCTGCTGGCAATTCAGTAATCGCGGCAAATGCCAAAAACGTTCTTGTACATTTGCCCATGGCAAAAAGGAGTTAATGTTCTGGACTTCAGAAAGACAATCAGGTAGGTTGTATTCCTGTCCTGAAGCACGCAGAATGCAACTGTAGAAAGTTTGTTTAATTTTTTGTTTTATATCGTGTGGGTAGGTACGATTATGATACAAATATTTCTAATGGACAGCATGATAGGCGAAAAATGGTATTACTTTTCCCTCCTGTGTGATAAAAAGTAAACTTGAAAAACCACTCAATGCTTCTTACTCTAAGCTTACACTCGTTGGGACCTAGCCAAAGAACACGTGAATTTTAACCCCCAAGTACATTCGCTACCAGTTAGTCAATCATTATTATTTATTATTATTACGCATGAACTAAGTGATATTTCCCCTACAGGCCGTGCCGCGTTTGGACGGATTGCTGATCCTGAACTTTCTCCTCAAGAAAATGATTTCCAGGACATTCCTAAAGTCCAGAAACGCATCCAGGGATCGTTGATCATTCGTGATATAAGGTCATTTAAACCAAGGCCTCCTCCAACCGGGGTGTACAGTGGAAAATTCCAATTGTGTAAATGGTAACGCCAATTTTTGAAGCACAATTTGCTGGTTTAACTTAATTTTATCTTTAGTTTATTAACAAGCCTAGTTTCATGGTTAGATTTTAGGATATTAACGATCCGTGTGCACATGCACCTTACGCTGTAGGTGGAAGTCTGGTCGCGAACTGGAATCATGGAGGAGATACAACAGGGAAATTCAGGAAGCTAAAAGTGAAGAAGAATTATCCTGCCAAAAACCAGAAACGAGTGCAGACATTTCAAGAAGTGAGATACAGGTACCGTACCAAGTCAGCAGTATGTATATAGATATTTTATTATTATTATTTTATTATTATTATTATTATTATTATTATTATTGTTATTTTATTATTATATAGTGCACGTGCATGGCCTGGCGTTCACGTGCACAATACGTACTAGGCATAGCTTAAGATTGTGTGTTGGCTTGTTCGCATTCCCCTCCTAGCTCTGCCACCGTACGTTTAATCAATTAATCTATACATTCATTTCGTTTCATTCGACTGTTTTTTTGTTTTTTGTTTTTTGTTTTTGGCTAGACGGTTTACAGTCTCCCTGGTGTAGAGGTCTTAAGCAATAAACCTGCTACAGTGAAGATCTCACATCGTGGTGAAGAGAGACATATCTTTCATTGGGAATTTACTGTCAAATTCGAGGTAATGAAAAAATCAGCCTTGATTTTAGTAAAATAAATGGCATTGTAAACACAAGTATATGGATGAAGAAAAATTTTATTGTACTTCACTTTCCAAGCTATTTCCAAGCTGTGTCCTTTCCATGTTCTCGTTACGTTCGTCTTATTCCTGCCTTTTTCGGGCATTTAGAGTCTCAAATCCTGACGCTTGCTTTGTTTATACAGTCAGTATGTGCAGGAGCCCATCACTAGGAGCTTGCAACTCCCTAACTAAGCCTATGTCACGGCATTTTTACAGATCAGTCTATTTTTAGCCTTCTTTTCCCGCGAAATAGGTCAGTTCCAGTCTACATGAGCGCACATCGGTGAGGAAAAACACGGCGGTCCCAGGTGGACATGTCGACAAAATAAAATACGCTGATTAGGTATAGTTAAAAATTGAGTCCATGCTTGTGATTGGTCACTGAGGTTTTTGCGGGCGTCTAAATTCGCGGTAAATTTGAGCTAAAAATAGATCGGTCTGTGAAAACGCCGTGACAGGAATATGGGGAGATTGCACGCTCCTAGTGATGGGCTCCTGGTATGTGAAAGTGTCTCACTGAATTTTCCTATTAAGACAAGTGTAATGAGCCATTATGAGGAGCTTTAATGTGGTAAATGCGTGTTTCTCTCCCTCAAACCGGTTTATAAGACTTACCAAAGTTTTACCATCAAGTGTCACTTTTTCTTTACTAGATAGGTGAAGTTGGCAAACTTTGTCAAGTTGATCTGCTTCATCGCTATCACGACTGCTATCGATTGACAATGATAACTGGCTTTTTTAACAACGTCGAGAAATTCTCAGAAGTTCCTAGAGAGCGATGGTCGTACAATCTTCCTAGTGGCGGTTGGAATGACACGAAAGAGGGCCAAATGAAAGTTGTCGTATCTGTCTCCTTTGAAACCATAGCGAGTAACCGGACCTTTACGCAGTGCCTAAGATTTGACTTTGGCAAGAAGCCCTTTTTATTGCAAGGATTAAATGTGGACATAGCAAGTGAGGAGGCCTTGGACAAGCTCTCGGCCACACGACAAGAACTGAAATTGCATTCCTCTGTATGGACAGAGGGGTCAGCGGACGTTGTTCCATGGCCAGAAACCACCGACATGAACAGTCAAGATTTGTTACTACTGAAGGAGTACAAACTGCCTGAGAGGATCGAGAATGTCATTTCAGCGCAAATAATCGACGGAAACATGACGGTGCACAACTATAAAAGAGTGATGCATCAACTGTTGTTTACTGAGGAGCTCTTCATGAAAAAGGCGATTTCAAGGTAAATGTCAATAAGTGCTTCAATAGGCTATTTCCGAGTTGCCTTTTGCCTCTGTGTCAAAACGAGCCTTCGTGCAAAATCATTCATATGGACATGTGTTCCCCTTACAGGTTCATTTTCATGCAAATTAAACTCATTTTCATATGAAAGGTTTTGTACGAGGACTCGTTTTGAAACAGAGGCAAGAGGTAACTCGGAAATGGCCTATTGATATCACAAACAACAAACCGTTACATCATTGCACTTTACAACGGTCCTCAATTTGCTAATTATCATTATGCTCGGAGC